CCCCGCCTGGCCCCTTCCTGACGAGAAAACCACATGTTGCACAAGAAGGCCCAGTGCCGTCTGCCACACACCGCTGCAAGAGCAATTATGAAACATCCTTCCCATAAAAATAAGAAGCGTGACTGTAAAGCAGGAACACAGCACGTCCCGGTCTTGATTGAGGGCTGTTTCGAGTTCAGATAAAGGCGGTGCCGAGCGGAGAGGACTTTTTCGCAGCAGGAACATCTTGCCCAAGATAAAACGCCCCTCGCTCTGGCAGCCGGAGGAAAACCGCAATCAGGGAGCAGGCTGGCAATCTGACCGTGTGGCATCAACCTGGCCTGGTTATGAATAATACACAGGAGCGGAGCAGAAGGCGGGAGGCCGAGGGGCGGGACCCGGCACCCAGAGCTAGAGCAGTGGCTGCAGACTTTCCTGCACAAGGCCCGGTGGTAAATATTTCAGGCTTTGCTGGTCTGTGGTCTCTGTACTCAACTCTGCCACTGCCGCCAACAAACGGCCATTAGCAAAACGTGGATGGAGATGGTAGTGTGCCGATAACACTTTTATTTACCAACACGGGCAATGGCTGGTGCTGGCCTGGGGACTGACTCCTCGTCTAGAGAGAGAGAGCGGCACAAGAGAAAAGTGGGCTTCACGCTGGGGACACCATCATTTTTCTTCATCTCTAAAGTCAACAGGTCACTTGCATTCCAGAACCATCTTATCACCGAAGACTTCCCGTGAAATGCAAAAGCAAAGGGAGCCAACACGCTGCACAGGGGTGTGGTGTGGAGACCGAGGACACGCTTCTTGCTGCATCCCTGCTCAGGTTGCTCTAACAGGGGGCATGTTCCCATAGCAACAGTGATGACCATGGAGCTGGAAGTGACCCCTCACCTGTGTAAGCTCTCAGGACACTGAATAATATCAGGAAGTGCAGGTGACTCTTCTCAAAGGCTGTTCCGGGTCTGGACGCAGGAGTGAGCCTGTTGACGATCTGCTGTCCTTCCTGACCTCTCAGCACCGGCCCCAAGGTCCTTGGAGGAGGTCAGCGCTCACACCATCCTTGCCAGGCACCATGCTAAGCTCCCCATGTTTGCAGGCGAGGCCCTCATCCCCTGTTCGTTGTGAGAGAGCTGAGGCTCAGGGAAACTAAAGAACTTGCCCAGGGACCACCAAGGAGACCCGCCCTCTCTCTCTCCCTCCCCCCACCAACCTCCTCACTCACTCTGGGAGGCCCTGTGGTGAAAGTAAAGACCCCCACTTGGAAGACCCCACTCAGGGTGTCAGAGACAATAGCCCAGCTCACAGCTTGACTTCACGGGAGGCCCGGAGCCAGGCCACCAAGCCCAGGTGCTCCCAGACTCCCAACCCTCAGAAACTGGGATGATAAAGGTCTGTTGCCCTGAGCTGCTGAGTCTGAGGCAGTTTGTGGTTCGGTCCCTGATAGCCAACCTGTACAGCTGGAAAGATGACATGCTGTGGCCTGACCTCGGTCACCTTGGATGGGGATGGGGAGTGTGGATGGAGCAAACTGGAGGCCCAGGGTTGGGGGGAGAGGGGGGGAGGCATTTGTGTGGTCAGAACGCTTATGCCAGCTGGGCCCGAGTAGAGCCCTCTCCCGGCACCAGCACCCCTGGTGTGACCGCTGGAAACACCCTTCCCACCACTGTAACCCCCAGGAGCGTTGGACCCGCCCATGCCGAGAGCAGCGTTCTCACTGCAGCAGCTCCAGGCTGTGTCCCACCACGCAGGCGCTCTGGGGCCAGGTGGCCAGACACAGCGCTCTGCACACTGAGCCACAGGGGCCTGCCTTTGTGCTCCTACCAGTGATTGGCAGAGGGCATGCCCTCAGGCAGCAGAGAGGAGAGCAGGCCCCTTCCCTGCATCCATGTCACCTCTGCTGGAGCAGCAACATCACCAAAGCTGCACAGCAGCCCAGAACCCTGCGGGCCATCCGGCAACAGGAAGCGCCTTTCATCTCCGTGGTCCCAAAGTCTTCAAAGAGCGAGTAAAGAGGGGCTGCAATGGGTATACGCACAGGAAATGCTGGCTGGGAGGCTTGGGGGAGCCAGGCAGGTGTGGGCACCTGGCGTAGGCAGAAATGAAGCTCATGACTCAGCTGGATTAGAACAGGACTCAGACAGCACGGCCTTTAGAGATGCCAAATTACTTTTATTTTATTTTATTTTATTTTTTATTTAAGAAAGAGAGGAGAGACCACAAGGGCCATAGTGACAACCCCAGAGCCGTGTGGGAATTCTATGGATGGGACCCCCAGAGGGACCACTGGGAGGGGAAATCACTGGAATAACAGTTTGAGTAGGGGACTCGAGCTAAGGGCGTGGGGGTCACCTTCCCCAGGGTGACCAGAAGCAGCCGCGGTTTCCCCTGCTTCCTGGATGTTCCTCGGGGTCTCCTCCACTCTCGGGCCGGCAGTCAACATTGCACAGCCTCCCGCAGCCACAGGTTCCGGGTGGCAAGGGTCTCAGGCCAGGCCACTCCCCAAACTTCCACCTGGCTCACTGGGAGAAAGCATTCTTTCTGCTGGACTCGCTGTTCGCGTACGGCCTGCACAGATGTGGCCATTGGAGGGGTCAGGGTGGATAGAAGCCCAGCCTGATCATGAAGACCGAGACCCCAGATCATGCCATGCTTGAAGCTGCACCCTTGGGTTCTGTTATATGAGCACATGTTTTGGTTCTGATTTAAGGAAGTTTGGCTGCACGCCTGTCCCTCGGGGTTCATTTTGGGAAGCCAAACCGCTATGAGAATGATGAAATACAAAATATATTCTAGTATTTTGACTTTACACAACTGTGGGAGGAGCTAGGGACTTCGAGATTCAAAAGAAGTTGGAAAAGGGGGTCACTGAGCAGTACCCCCAGGCAGGGCTGCTGTTGGGAAGAAGGACACATGCCACAGGGAAGACCCCAGCACCCATGATATCGGGCCAGGATGACCACGCCCCTCTCCCACCTTCCAAAGCCCAGGCATTTCTCTTTGGGACAAGTCCTCCCGGAGCCACACAGGGGAGGAGTCCTGGGAAAGGAGCAGTGACACCACCCACACTGCCCCACTTGTACTTCCTGTGCAGAGTCCTCATTTCACAAACGTCACCTGAGTCACCAGAGCCTCCAACTAATTCACACCCAGCCACCTTCTCGACCAGCCCACGTGGGCAATTCTGTGTCTTCCTCCTCCTCTCTGTGAGGAGACCTGACAGAAGCCAGGCCCCAGCTTCAGCCGAGAAGAGGGGCATCTGTGTCCTGCCAGATGCCCAGGCTGCCCGGACTCAGGGGAAGTGGTCCCTGCTCCCCGGTGATTCCTCTGTGCTGGAAAATCACATACCCTGAATTCGAGTCCTTGACCCACTCTGAGCAGACCTATGGGGTCTCCACACCCCTCTCCCTCACCCCTAACACCTATGGAAAATCCTCCAGCTGCAGTCCTCTCCCAGAGAGGCCCACCCCTTTGGGCACTGCCAAGGGTCAAGGGGCAGATGCCACTTCCCATGATTGGCCCTCCCTGGAATGGCTTGCCCCAAACCTGATGGTGCCTTCATCTGGGCCACACCAGTTCATGTAGAAGGAGGAGGGGCCCTCTCAGGCAGGGGGCCAAGACTGGGACCAACAACCCGAAAGCCTTTTCCTCATCAGCTGCAACTCAATAGCATCTGTCACAACGTCTGACACCTGTCACACGCCTGCTCGGCGTCCCCCAGAACCAACTCCTGCACATGCTTGCTTTCTTCTGTCGGCCAGCAGCATCCTTATCTGTACCTGGAACAGTGGGTGCTTCTGCACCACCTCCTGGCCCAGCCTGCTCTCCGCAGTACCCAGCAGCCCCTGCTTTGGCCCTTTCACTTGGTGTGGTTTCCCAGTTTGGACGGCCAGAGACCCCTCTGCAAGCGCCTACAGCCTGGGCCTGCCAAAGGCTTCTATGTGCGGCAGAGCCCAGTGTCAGTGCCTTTCTTAGCTCAAGCCTCATTAATCAGATGGTTCTCTGCCTGCTTGCTAGGTAAGAACTTGGAACGCACTGCTCTGAGCTGCCCTATTCTCCAAAAACTTACACAGACCCCACAACCACTCATTCCCACCTGAGCACAGCATCCTTCCTCATTCTCCAGCCTCCAGGCCAAAGTATACCTGGACCATTTCCTCCCTGTGCTGGTCCCACAGTGCCCCTGCAGGTCACCACCGAAACCTTGGCTCTCTGTGACTGCAGGCTTACAAGAGCCATTCTCTCCTACAGATACCTGGAGCAGGTCCCCAAGAAGCCAAGACTAAAGCCAATGTCTGTTTGAAAGCTCTGAGAGGGACCTATTGGGAAAGAGGCAGGCCAAAGCCAGGAGAGGGACCTATTGGGAAAGAGGTTTCAGAGTTTGGTCTTGTCATCCCTAACTCATCTGAGACCCCAAATGCCTGTCTTAGTGTAACGTGCAGCCCAGGCAACCTTGAATTTCTAAAAGGGTTAAGTGCTTGTGAGGTTTCTGCTAGGGCTGGCCCCAAGGCTTTGGCACCCACCTCGTTTCCTTAAATGCTGAAAGGGAGGGAGAAAGGAAATCAACACACCCTCGGCCTGTTCTGCATTCCTCATGTCGACAGAGTAAATTGTAATTCAGGAGAGCTAAGAGAGCATCGCTTCTAGTGCTCGGGGCTGGGACTGGAGCTGAGGGCTGGGGCTCGGGACTGGGGGCTCCATTGGTGGTGGAGGGGCTGGGGACTTAGGACTCAGGACGGAGGGATCAGAGGTTGGGGTTTAAGCTCAGGGCTCGGGGCTGGACTCGGTGCTGAAGGAGGGTTACCAGCTCGGGTCGCCACAAAATGACGTCAGAGCCCTGCGTTCCCACGCCGCGCCTGCGCAGGACCCGGCGCTGGGCCTAAGGGGCGCGAGAAGACCGCTCCACTACGCAGACGCGGCCACGCCCCCTCACCTGGAGGCCAATGGACTCGCAGGACCCGCCCCTGACGACGCGGGCCCCGCCCCCTGGAGACGCACCGCGGCGGAGCCCTATCCTCCAGGGTAGCCGGCAGGTCCAGGGCCCGGCTTGGTGGCTGGGATCCCGGCCACCCATCGCCATGAAGCTAACGCGCCAGATGGTTCTGTCCCGGGCCAAGGCCTCGGAGCTGCATAGCGTGAAAAAGCTCAACTGCTGGTGAGGCCCAGAAGCCGGGGGCCTCCCCGCTGCCTACACCCCTGCCCTGGAATGGTGACCCCTGTCTGCCACGCCCTGCCCGCGATTGGGGGCTCCCCCTCGGAACCTCCCCCTTAGAATGGGGCACTCCGCCTGGCACCTCCGCCCTGGGTTGGGGCTTCCCCGCTCGGCACCTCCGCGGTGGGATGGGGCTCCCGGCCCGACAGGTCTGTTGTGCGGCGGGGCCGAGAAGGGCCTCTTAAGGAGCAGGGGGACGAGGGAGCCTCCAGCCTTCAGGCCTCCTTGTCCCAGACTGGCCTTCCGGGTCCCAAGGGCCCACAGCCTCTGGGAGGGGCTGCCACAAGCTCAGGTGGCATTGGCTAAGGTCATTCCAGAATTCTCACACCCACACACCCCACCCTTCCCAGTGGTGGTGTTTCAGACCCAGGCTCCAAACCTGCTATCCTTGCTGGAAACAATTAGAATTACCTAGAGAACTATTATGAGGCTTTTCCATAGCTTTGGTGGGACAGCTGGCTCCCTCTGTGGACGGTCTGGTTTCTGACATGGCCAGTCATTGGGAACCAAGTATACTAACAAGGTGGGAGATTAAGGTGATTAAAGCCATTTCTAGGAACCCTAAATGGCTAGAGCATCGGCCTGGGGACTGAAGGGTCCCAGATTCGATTCTGGTCAAGGGCATGTGCCTTTGTTGCAGGCACATCCCCAGTAGGGAGTGTGCAGGAAGCAGCTGATCGATGTTTCTAACTCTCTATCCCTCTCCTTCCTCTGTAAAAAATCAATATAATATATATATTTTTTTTTTAAAAAAAAAAACATTTCTAGGAGAAAGTAAGAAAATTGAGACTCTTCAGCAATGATTTAGCAGTCCTTTCTGTAACTGAGGCCTCTGGGAGAAGAGCTGTCCCCAGGTGACTCACTGGAAGTTGACGGTATAGGTTTTGTGGGGTCAAGCTCCAAGGGAGGGGGGTCTGCCTGGGCCACGACAGGACCAGAAGCGCTTCATGAACTCCTGAAAGCGGTACAGTGTTCCCCAGGGACTCCGAGGGAGGCTTCACACGTGACTGTGAACTGGACGGTGCAGGTGGGAGTAGGACGCTCAGTCCAGAGCAGACCTTCCTCCCGCTGGTGCCAGGAAACTGACCGCAGTGTGGGGGCTCTGCTTGCTCATTGAAAAGCTCTTCTGGCTCTGGCACATGTGCGACTTTGGCCACCACATCCCGTCACTCCTTTTCAATAGTGCATGTCCTCGCTCTGCACGGGGCGGTCAGACTTTTCTTTAAGCAGGGAGAAACAACAACTGGACTTCAGGCTTCCTAAAGCGTTTCCTAAATTGCTTGATTAGCCTTTGAACTTGGCCTCTTACGAAGACGCCCTTGTTTGTTTACATCGCGAGAGAAATGGTCCTCTGCCACAGCCTTGAGAGGGAGTCGAACTTGCGTCCTGCCAATGGGACAGCCTCCACGGCTCCTCCCGCGGAGAAGCTGCCCTCAGGCTCCGGGTCTGTGCCCTGTGGTTTTGTTGACAATCCACCATGAGACGAGTTTTGACACCTTTGTCAGTTGGCTGGGCAAGCTTTTACTCTGTCATTGAAATCATGGGATCTTAACCCTTGTAAGCATTTACTGTTAAATTTTGGAGTTATTTATAATTTTTTAATTAACCTTGAACAAAATTAACATACATATATCTTTTCTTTCCCCAGGGGCAGCCGCCTCACAGATGTAAGTATTCAACGCCGATCCCCGATCCCAGAGTTGTAGCCTTTTTCCACAAGGGAATTCTTAAGCTGCCGAACTGCACTGCTCACCTCCGGCTGTAGCCAGGTGCTTTGTTCACTTAGCAGTTGTTGTAAGGCAGAACCACTAATAAAAAGTAGCATTCTCTAGCATCCTTTAAACATCTGAGAGGCTCCTGCGTCCATGCGGGTCTCACAGAAGAGGGAGCAGGTCCCAGGGCAGTCCTGCTCGGACCTAGGGAAGAATACAGGGCCGGGGGTCCCTGTGGGCTCCTGGACTTCACGTCACCTCGGAGGAGGTTCCTCACTTCAGCTTCTGCTCCTGGGCACGTCCAGCTTCACGCTCCCCCACCAATGGCAGGAGAGATGGGGTGGGGGTGGGGGTGGGGGTGAGGGCAGTACACAGAGCTGAGTGAGCTGTGAGTCTGTGAATAGATTTCTTCTTTTCTTTCTCACCCCTAGAACGAATGCCCTAACTTGCACAGAGTTTGAGTGCCAGTCATTCCGTTCTTATCTACTCTTGTAACTTGAACCGTGCCTTTCCTTAAAAACAAAGCTTGAATGTTGCTGAGCCATTGGGATGTCCAGAAAAGCTGATTCCACCTCGGGCAATAGCTAAAGAGCTGCATATTTAGTAGAAAGTACATACACACACACTTACACACACACACACACACACATACACACACACACACACGCGCGCGCACATGAAACCCATCACCATTGCAGCAGAAGATAAATCCGATGCACTCTGAAGCATCCTGACCAGACCATGAACTTGCTGTGGTCAGGGACCATCTGGCTTCATGCCCAGTGAATGGCAGACACTTAGACACTTGGCGGCTGCACCACTCAACAAGCTTGATGGACCCGCCTGAGCCTCTTGCTGCCCTTTCCCACTGAATCAACAGTGTGGATACCATCGAGATCCCGTTTTTTAATTCTGACTCCTTTTTGGGCCGGGGTGTTGGTGAGAAGGGGTGTCAGTACTTTTCCTGTGGGTCAGGGACAGCAAGAAGGAAGGTTCTCTGTCCATCTCCCTGCTGTCCTTGGAGGGCTTCTAAAGTTCAGACTGCTCTGTCTTGGCTTCCGGCGGTGTTCGGTGGCAAGGCTGTTTGAAAGCTTGAGAGAGAACACGTTTCTCCTCCAGAGAAACATCTAGGCTGCAGGGGGGGAGAGGGGGACACACACACACACACACACACACACACACGCAGAACCCACGTGCTCTCGCTTCGTTGGTGTCAGGTGAGGGGAAGGCCACTCTACGTAGGCCCTGGAGGTGGGGTTGGCTGTACCTCCAATCTGTTGGGCTGCTAGACGTGATGCCACGAGGCCAGGGCCAGCAGGGCTTGCAGCCGCCTTCTCTTCCTCCCTAGATCTCCATTTGCCGGGAGATGCCCAGCCTGGAAGTGATCACGCTCAGGTACCGGAATGCCTGCTGTCACTCTGAGTCACGGGGGCTTGAAAGAGGCGGGAAACACAGATGACCCGAAAACCCCAGGAAACTATGGGAGGGCCGCTGGCTCCTTGGCTCCACCTGAGCTCCACCCTCCTTTCTGGCTTCCCCCTTGCTGCGCCCCTGCCCACCCTCTCTGCAGGTCAGTGGGTACAGCCCCCCAGTGATGAGCAGCCACCCCCACGGAGGCCACATCTGGCCCCAACAGCCCCCAGCGCCCCAGCCTTTTCTGACGCAGTTCCATCTCTGCTGGGAACTTGGCCTGTTTCTCTGAATCACGTGCTCTGTCATCGATGACATACCTCGTTTTTGTATCCTTGGGGTTTTAACGGACTAAGGAAGCCCCACGTGAACCAGATTCTGTCATTGGGGTTCCAGGCAGCTGGGGAGCTTGGAGGATGTGCCCCAAATGCCCCCCTGGGGCCCAGTGCTGCAGCTAGTGCTGGGGATCCCTGCTGCTCGATGCTGGAGTGCTTTCTGCAGGTCCCCCTGTGTAAACCTGACAGGGAAGACAGACTCCCCCTCTATGGCAGTTCAGAAGGTTCTGGAACTATAGGCCCTGGGTCCATGCAGGCTCATGTGACTTAACTTCCTGATCACAGGACTGGCCACGCTATTTGTCCCTCCCTTGCCCTTTGCGCCGTCCTCGGTCACCTGGTGGATGACTGTGCTGCCCACTGCCCTCACGGCTCCCCATCCCTGGCCCAAGCCTCTTTGGTTGGTGCCTTCTCTGGGATGAATGAGCGAATAATGGGCTACAGCTGTGCCCAGGCTAAGTCCCAGCTCTCCCACCTGGGGCAAGGTTCAGACCCCCCCCCCCCTGTGCCTCGGTTTCCCTCTCTGTAATACAAGATAACATCAGACAGATGCTCACGATGCTGTCTCTGTAGCGTCAACAGCGTGTCGACCCTGGAGCCCGTGAGCCGGTGCCAGCAGCTGAGCGAGCTTTACCTGCGGAGGAACCACATTGCCAGCCTGAGCGAGCTCTCCCACCTGAAGGGCCTGCCGCGCCTGCGGGTGCTGTGGCTGGCCGAGAACCCGTGCTGCGGCGCCGACCCCCACCTCTACCGCATGACCGTGCTGCGCAACCTGCCCAACCTGCAGAAGCTGGACAACCAGGGTGGGTGTCCACGCCGAGCACGCCCCAGCGGCCTCCCTCCTCCGCCCTTCCTGCAAAACCCTGCCCTCCCCGGGCCTCCCAGGCACCTCCTCCTCTGGAGTTCCCCAGAAGGACCCCTGGGCTTGTCCCTGTGACCCATTATGGGGTGCAGCCCCACATGCAGAGCCAGGATCTCCGGTGAACCTCACACAACTCGGCTGCCTCACTGCCGACACGCACTGGGTTGCCTCACACTCACCCACATATGTGTGAAGTGCCTCAGCATAAATGAGAGGTCTGGGTGGGGCTGCTGGTGTCACTGCTGGCCCACGGGGACCCACGGTGGGAATGCCCCTGAGCTCCCCGCTTTGGCTCACCTGCTGCTGCCTCTGCCTGCTGGGGTGTGAGCTCCAGAGCAAGCCTCTGCCCTGTGCCCACCCGTTCCGGGCCTGGGCCCCTTTCTGGGCTGTCCGCCTTCTCTGTGCTGGCTCCTAATCCTGTCTTATTTTCTCCCAGATGAACAATTTTAATATAAACTCCAGGGCAATTAAGTCAAATGGAATAAATGCTGTGGATGCTGTTCCCTTTTAAATTTTAATTTGAGGGTTTGTTTTAATGAGTATTTGCTTTTGGGAAGTGCTGAAAGTCAGGTTCAGAAGCAGCCACTGGCCATCTGCCATGTGTCCAGCTCATGCGCGGGCTGGGGCATGGCTGTCGGGGTGGACAGACAGACACCTCTTCTCTAAGGCAGACTGCTGCGTACGTGGCGTGGTGCGGGGCCTGCGTGTGTGCAGGACGGCCGCTCTGATGCTTTTCCTCTCCTTCGCCTCGAAGCTGTGACTGAGGAGGAGCTGTCCCGGGCATTGATGGAGGGAGAGGAGGTCACGGCCCCCAGCAGAGAGGACACGGGGAATGGCAGGCCCGAGCTGTCCTACGCCCTGAGTGCCATGAACGCCACTGCCGAGACCCAAGGGGATGCGCTGAGCTACAGCGAGGAGGAGGCGAGGTGCGCAGGGGGTCTGTCCAGTTCACCCTCTTGAGGAGAGTCAGCAGCCATGTCTCCCATCCCTGGGGAGGGAGGGGAGCGAATTGCCCTGGTGTTCTTTCTCACCTGCCCTCATGGCCCGGAGAATGCTCCAGGCACGGCGAGTGCATGCGCAGAGCCAGCCCTTCGCGGTGGCCTGGAGGTGGGACTCATGAAGGGATTAGTGGACACCGGGGCCAGCTGGTAGAGGGAATACCGGCTGGAGGGGCCTCCAGGGCAGCGGAGGGTCCCCGAGGACAGCGCGCTGATTGTCCTGGACGTTGTAGAGACGGTGGCTTCCAGGGCTGCCAGGCTCCGTGCACAGCAGACGAAGCACTGTCTCTCGCATCATTTGTGTTTAGTCCCCCCACCCTTGACCGGGGGCAGGAGCCTGGGTACAGCAGGGCAGCCCCCGGGGAATCCGAGAGACAAGGGTGTGGAGCACCTTCTCACCCTCCGGTCGGTGCTGCTGTCCCTCCAGAAGCGATGGCACGTGCTGGGCGTTTGGCTTCGTAATGGGGGGTGGGAGAGCCATTCCTAGGCGACTCTTCCTCACTTTGGCCTGGGCTCTGGGAACGGACTCTGCAGAAACGGACTGAGCTGCTCAGCCCTAACACATGTTGTCACCCCCCCTTCCTCCCCAGCATACGGGGACCGCTCGGCCTGAAGCCCCCTGCCCAGGACCGGTTTCCTTCCTTCCCACAGAGGGAGGCTGTGAGCAGCCACAAGAACAGGGTAAGTGTGATGGTGGCCATTGGCTGCCTCCGCCCAGGGTGTGGATTTGGTGGTGGGAGTGGGACGGGGGCTGGAGACACCACAGGGACTAACAAAGCCAGGCTCCAGGTGCGGGTCCGAGGTGGGGGCTCCATAGTCCCATCGTATCCTCTGAGCGCATTACCTCACGGCCATTCCCCCAGGCGTCTCCTAGGAGGAATCAGCTCACATAGTCCCCCGTGTGCTTTTATCCCCACACCTTCACAGCAGACGTGGCAGGGTTTCCCCGCTTGAAGGCAGGTAGAAACTGAGTGCAGGCACATTGACACACACATGCGCACACGTATTTGAGCACGTGTGACTGAGCCGCCCTTGGCTGCTTCTGATTCCTGCTCGACCACTGACCTGTTCCCCAAGGCAGGGAGCACCACCCCGGAACTGCAGCTGGGAACTTGGGCTGCCCGAGTCTCCATCTAGCCATGTGGCTGGTTGGTTGCATGGAAGGCCGATCCCCCATGACGTGGCATGCTGCTGGCCAGGGCCCTTGGGCACGTTATGGTGTGGGCATCCTGGCCTTGTCAGTGTGGCACTCAGCCAGTAACTCTGTGCCCCCAGAACAACGTCCTGACTGCCATCCTCCTGCTGCTTCGGGACTTGGACACGGAGGGGCTGGAGGCCGTGCACCAGACCGTGGTCAGCAGGCTGCAGGCTCTGCACAGACAGGAGCTGCAGGAGGACATGGAGTGACCCAGCGGGGACCCCGCACTGCGGGACCTTCTGCTGAAGTCCCAGTCTTCCCGAGCACCCGGAGGTGAGGCTGATGGCCACCGCCGCGGTCCCTGCCGGATCCTAGGCCGGGTCCCAGCACCAGCGGCTCGTCCTCAGGAAGCCCAGCCCGCCCTGGAAGGCCGCGCTTTCACTTGGGCAGCATCTGGAGAGGGCCGGAGGGGCATCAGGGCAGGCTGGGCAGACCCCGCGCCGTCGCCCTCCTGCGCGGGCCGCCCTTCTCCCTAATAAACCTTTCCCGAAGCCCGGCCTGGAAGCAGGTCTCCTGTGACAGGCCCAGCCTTGGCTTTCTTTGTGAAAGTGAGAGTGGTTTCCCGCAGACCGTCTCTGACTCTGTCGTGGGGAGCATTTCTGGGCTCAGGAGCCTTCCAGAATCATGGCCTCCCTGCAGACAGACGCCCTCCTCAGGGTCACATCAGCAGAGGGTTTGTGGGGACCCTGTGGACAGGCCTTGGAGGAACAGGCCTGTGCGTCTGCCTGGGGATCCAGGCGGGGCCACAGCAGGAGCGAGTAGGACGGCCTCTGGGAACTGCAGATATCTAACGCGTGTTCTTCTCTGGGGACAGGCCCTTCCCTGATGCTAAGTGTCCAGGGGGGCGGGATGATGCAGCCCGGGGGGCCTTCCTGGTGCCTCCAAAAGCTGAGGCCACTCAGTGGAAGGGGAGCAGTATGACCTCCTCCCACACCCCCGCCCCCGCCATTAGAGACAAGCCCGTTGAAACTAGTGGGCTGGAGAGGGAGACAGGCCCTTCCTTTGCCCTTCCCCACTTTGAGGAGGGACTGTCAGCATCCCTGAGAGCTGAGCCGCCAGCTTGTGTGAGAGCCACAAACCAGAAGCAGGAACCACGTGACAGCCAGCAAGGGCGGGACGGCGTCTGGAAGACGGCTCTCCTTGCCGAGGCTGCACCTGGGCCAGCTCCTTTCAAGCCGCTGGAGACCTCCAGACTAGGACTGGGGAGAGCAAGCAGAGGCGGTGCCTCCTCTGTGCTCTCCTGTAGTTTGTCGGGACCAGGGGTGAGCTCTGAGCAGTGGGAGGCGAGGGGACCCTGCGTGGGGTGTCTGGGAAGGTGGCTGCAGGCCCGTGCGTGTGCCTTCTGGTCATTAAGGGATGTTGCTCAATAAACCTGTGCCTTGGCTAGAACAGGCTGCTGTGGTTCTGTTGCATTAGACAGGCATCCTCAAACTTTTTAAAGTGGGGGCCAGATCACGGTCCCTCAGACAGCTGGAGGGCCGGACTATATGAACTACTAATTCCTACTGTAACACCTCGGCTGCGCTCACTGCCCAAAAAACCTGGTGGGCCGAATCAGACTCATCTGCGGGCCGCATGTGGCCCGCGGGCCGTAGTTTGAAGACCCCTGAATCATTAGAACATCCTCCTGTTCCCGCTCACACCAACGTCCTTCACACCCTGGTGCCTCACTCAGGGACCCTGGATTGGGACTCGTCGGGATGCACTGTCTGCCTCAGCCCTCGGCCCCTCGCCCTTCACCACCCCCCGCCATGGTCTACGCCAGAGCAGAGGCTGCCAGCTCACTGGGCCCACTCCCTGCCACCCGCGCTCTCTGCCTTTGGAGCCCTCGTGATGGACCGGGGCAGCACATTTACCCACGGCCTCGTCTTCAACAGGGCAGCCCCGCCCTGAATTCCCGAACCCTGAAAGCAGGGGTTTCGAGCCTAGCAGGCCTTGGCATACTCCCCACGGCCTGTTGGCTCCGTTAATGCAGGACAGGAGGCCCAGGAGGGCACGTCCAAGGCATAGCCCACACGGCAGGCAGAGCAGACCCGAGGCCCAGCTCCAGAAATGAGCGCTCGGGAGCTCTCAGGCTCTCGGACCAACGTGGCGAGGCTGGTGTGGCCCCGGCACAGGGCCGGTGCCCCCATGCACACTGCCCCCCTGGAGTGACGGAGGCCCCCACCAAGGCCTGTCAGTGCGTGAAGGCAGCTGGAGGGATGAAGGGCCCAACCTGGTCCCTAGAGCCACCCCCTCCCCCCACGGCCTGTGGGCCCCCAGGAAAGGGCCTCCCTACAAAACCTCACAGGTCCCAGCCCCTCATCCTGGTTATGTGGTTTTCTTTCTCCATCTTTTAGAGTTCTGCTACCCCTTAGCTTGCCAGTTAATACTCCCTGAGCGACTTTCAGACGCTCCTTCTATCTGTTCTGGGACTAGGCTCAGCACAAGTCCGTCTGCTCGGCCGCCATGTTATCTCCCTGCCCCCAGTCCCTCATCCTGAGTCTCTGCGGACACAGGGCAGGAGCACAGGCCGGAGCATCCCTGGACCAGGTGCCCAGACAGCCGCGGGGGGAGAAGACCTGGGCAGTGCAGTGAGCTCAGGAGTGACAGGTCCCGCCAAATCGTACTTCGGTGTCATCAGCTCATCTACCCCTCCCCCCAACCCCCCACCCTCCGGCGCCAGCCCCACACTGTGGATCAAGGCCCCGAACTGATGATCAGGCCACAGCTCATGGTGGTGGTGAAGTTTCTGGCTGTTTCCCCCTCCCATTGCCCGCCTCCACCAGGGTCTCCCAGCAACCTCCTATCAGCCACTGCCCCGGCCGGAGACCCCAGTCCAGGCTAAGTCTGGGGGACCGGTCAAGGTCCAACTTGGAGCCCAGGAACCAGGCTCAGAAGTCATCCTGGGAGAGGCCCAGGCATGTCACCTTTCAGAACAGGGCTGGGGGCACACAGGTCACCCCTCAAAACAAGGCTGAGGGGTCTCAGGTCACCCCTTAGGACAGAGGTAAGGGGCCCAGGCCACCCCTCGGGACAGCCTGGAGAGGCTCAGGCAGGGCCCGTGGAGACTCCGGTCACCGCATTGGCAGAGAGGGGTCTGCTGGGCCTGGGAAGCCAGTGTCGATCCTGGGAAGGGGGCGCATGTCTTTGAGACCCAAACCGGCCCCGGAGCCAGAGGACAGCCCCGAGCCAACCCCCATGCCAAGCACCAACAGGCCCGACCTCCCTCCCAGCCCTGCGGGCCCTGCTTTGCAGACAGAGCATCCTCTGTTGGTGATTTTATTCCTACAAAAGACGGGAGGCCCTGCTCAGCCAGTGTCCAGTGCACAGGAAAAGGGTCCCAGCAATGCCCGTGGGGACAGGCACCCCTTGGCACGAAGACGGCGCTGGGCCCGAAGGGCCGGTGCGGGTGAAGGGCCAGCCTGAGGAGAGACTCGGGACCATGCAGGGGTCCAAGGAGGAAGGACAGTGCTGTCCAAGCTCGGACGGCCCATGTCCCCCTGGAATGTGTGCACCCCGGGGTCCTCTGTCCTGGAGGTGGGGGCCAGGATCCCCAAGGGCAAGGCTGAGAGGCCACAGCCTGCCCACGGCCTGCCTGCCCGCAGGCTCCGGGGCAGCAGCCTGGCGGGGAGGGCCGGGCACCGGGCGGGCGGGGCGGCCTCAGAAGCCCTTGTCGATGCTCAGGGTGCGGCGGGTGACGTGCTCCAGCTCCCCGGACACGTAGTCGGCCATGCTGATGCGGTAGTGTGCCAGCATCTTCAGCATCAGCCGCAGGTTCAGCCACCACTGCTCCCGGGGCATGCGGTGCCTGGGGCCGGGTGGGACCGGGTCAGGGCGAGCCCGACCTGGGACCGCACCCCCCTCCTCCGAACCCTGGACCCTGCCCAGCCCCTGACAGGAGTGGCCCATGGCGGTGGTGGCCCTCCGGGGCCCGCACCCAGGATGGACTCAGCAACAGGGACAGAGCAGGCCGCCTGTGCACTTGGGCCTGGCAGTCCGGCTGGCCCCTGACCCACCGGCCCGGGGAAGTCGGGGGCCCGTGGTCCACCCTCACTTCAGAGGCACTCACTCGAAGTCCGTGTCCTTCTTGAGCTCAGTGACAGGGCTGAAGGCCACCGCCTTCTTCTTCAGGCCGATCACGCAGGCCGAGTCGGGGGCGTTGGCGAACACCCGCCCTGCGGACACAGGCATGTGCTGCAGCCACACACACACACACACACACACACACACACACACACACGCCCCGGGCCTGGCTGGGGCTAGGCCAGCCGAGCCGCCGCCCCCCGTACCGTTGCGGTAGACGGACCGGAGCTTCTCCGACATCCAGAGCATGGCCTTCACCCCCAGCTTGGTCCCGTAGTTCCGGTCGAATGGGGTGGGAGCCCCGCCCTGCAGACACAGCGGGTGAGACCCCCGTCCAGCAGGGCCCAGACCCAGCCGAGGCAGGCCTAGTCCCCACAGGTCCCCAAACCTGGCCCCGCTGTGACACCACGTGAGCTCTCCAGGCAGTTTCTGACACACGACACCCTCTGCCTGCGACACCCCTGGTCCCTATTCCGCCTCAAATCGGGCCTAAAAGCCACTCCGAGAGGTCACGGCAGTGAGCGGGCTAACTAGTCACCAGATGGGATGACGCTGCGGGACTATGCATTTGGTGGTAGGCAGGTCCCCGTGAGCAAGGAACCCCCAGGGGAGAGCAGCCTCGGGGTGCACACAGCCCTCGCACAGGGCTGGGAAACCCCACAGCTCCAGCTCCTTGCAGGGCCGCTGGGAGGCTGATGCAGGGTGGGGACATGGCGGTGGAGGTGACCACAGGGGCCCAGGCCCTGACCCCTCTTAGCTAGTGGGGAGGCCTCAGCTGACAGGAGCCTGGCCTCCCCACCTCAGTGATGGGATGGGAGCCCTTTGCCCGGGGGACTGAGGACAAAGCAGCCCACGACCGGCACGCAGGCACCCCTCTGAGATGTGCACAGAGGTGGGCCTCCTCCTGCCGGGTCCCGGCCCCTCACCCGGCACAGAGGGAGGGTGGGCAGGGGCCGCGCCCCCCACGCCGTACCTGCTGCAGGTGGCCCAGGACGTTAGTTCTGCAGTCGAAGATGCCCTTCCCCTCGGAGGAGTAGAGGTTGTACAGAAACTCCGTGGTGTAGTGATCGTGGCATTTCTCGTTTCTGGGGAAGAGGAGGAGGAGGGGGCCTGAGTGAAGTGGGGGCCGGCTCAGGGCCAGGCCCCGGGCCTCTGACCCCACCCACTCCTCTCCAAGGCCACCTCCACCTTGTTGACCCCACAGCCAGGGCCTGGAAGCACCTGCCAAGGCTGGGGCGGACCCTCCCCCCGCCGGGGCCCAGGCCACCCGCAGCCTCACCGCAGCACCAGGCCCCTCTGGATCTCCGTCTTCATCTTCTCCGTCATGTGCTCCACGTTGGCCTGCAGGAGGGAGTGACACGTGAGCCGGGGCCCGGGCAGCAGCCAGCACTGGCCCCACTGCAGCCAGAAGGCAGGCTGTCCCGGCAGGAATATTCCAGACTGACTAAAAGCGGGAGCCAACGTGGCCCAGGGGTGATGGGGGAGGAGCACTGGGGTGGCAGAGGGCGCTGAGAGGTATGGGTTGGGCCATGAGGCCACGAAGCCACAACGTGGACACAGAAAGGGGTGCAGGGCCACGGGCCAGCCCCCCGCACAGGCAGGGAGCTCCCAGCCTGCTGAGCCGTGGCTCCTTGTCCGAGCAGGGACCCGCTCAGCCCCGCGCACGGAGGCGGCTGAGGCTCAGCTCACCTTTAAGTCGTGGATGTTGAAAGGGTCCTCGAAGATGTAGGCGGCGTCGGCCCCCACGGCGATGCCGGTCACGGTGGCCAGGTAGCCGCAGTAGCCGCCCATGGTCTCCACGATGAACACCCGGCGCTTGGTCCCCGAGGCCGACTGCTTGATCCGGTCACAGCTCTGGGGGGCGCCGGGGGTGGTCAGGGTCCTCCCCGGGGGGCAACCGGGACCCGCTCTGCTGCGGGGACCAGATCTCCCCCCAAAGCTGACTGAGGGTCACACGAGGCCAGGACAGTCCCACCCCCCACGTGCCCAGGGCTCTGCGGCCCTCACCACAAGCTCTCCACGGCCTCAGCCGGGAAGGTTCTGCCCCTGGGAACGACAGGGGTACTGCTGGCTCCTCCCAGGTGCAAGCCAGGGCATCGCTAAGAGGTCTCCCCTGACCTGAGAGCGGGGTCACTGCTGCCAGGGTAGGTGGCTGTGAACAAGGGGCTGGGGGACACGTGCCCGTGGGTGCCAATGATCATGTGACATCATAACCCTAACTCGGAACAGCTCAGCGTGTGGAAGGGAATTATAGCAAGGCATAGAGAATGGAGCAAAAGGCCGAAACTGGTTTGGCTCAGTGAATAGAGCGTCGGCCTGCAGAC